TGCGGGCACAGGGAAGGGGCCAGGCAGGATTCCCCAGCAGGGCAGAAGTTGGGAAAAGCAAACCCCAAAATGATCCCGCTCTGTTCCCCAGCCCAGGGATCGACCCCACAGCTCCGACTTGCCCCCCAAGTTTTGGGAAGCAGCTGCCCAAGATGCCGAGCACGCTGAGATCACTGAGATGCTGAGCACCAAAATCACTGAGATGCTGTAGATGCTGACAAAGGTCAAAAGTGATGCTCTGCAGGGTTCGGACCCCCTGGGGTCGGGTTTGGAGCTGGGCGAGGGGCTGCACATCCCCGTGCAGAGCTCCCACTGCTCCATCACAGCCAGGCTTTAACCCGACAGCGATGTCAGCAGCACTCAGAAGTGAAGTTTTCCAAACACGCGCTTAATTCAGAATTAATGGGATGATTTTTTTTCCCCTCTAAGTTAATTGAAAGGAAAAAAAATGATTATTAAACACAGAATTTGAGCTTTGACAACTAGGTAGTAAATATCCATCCAGCACATGGCTGCTAATTCCCAATAAATATGTTTCTTTCAATAACCAGCTGGTTTTAATTTAACAAACAAATAGCTGTCTGGTAAAATCCAAATTAATTGACTGTTTGGAGACCTTAATGGAAAATAGCAGTTGTGTTTCAGCCCCCACTCTGGCCTGTGTGACCCCCCCCATCACAGCACAGCAGAAATGCGGGGTTGGATGCTGGCAGGGGAAAGCAAAACCCCGTGGGTCCCCCCAGAGCCCTTCCCGATGGCCACACGTGGCTCGTGTCCATCTCACGGCTGGGAGCAGCAAAGCTCTTTTTGGGTGCTGGCCAAAATCAGCTTGCTCACACCACATTGCCTCTTGGTCTCATTTCTGGCTGTTCCATGCTTTTGGGCAACAACAACGGGAGAAAATTAGCGGCGTGTGATTTGCAGGGACCCTGCCTCGCTCGGGAAGCCACGCGACGGTTTGTAGTTAAATAGAAAGGAATAAAAAAAAAATAAAAAATAAAAAAAATGTGAGTTATTTCCCATAAGCTGGTAGCTCTCAGGCTGTCCCTGCGTGGATGTGGCACCTAAAACCTGAGCAAGTTGCCAGCTCTGGTGCAGTGCCTCCACCCTGACCCCTTTTGGCCCCGAGCAAAACTGGGGACAGCGTCCATCTAGAAGGACAGCTGGTGCAGTCAGGATGATTTAGATCAGTCAGGGATCTTTGAGCCCTCTCCACATGATTTTTTGACTTTCCCTCAGTTTTCCCACTATATTTTTATAGCAGCCATATCAAGACCTGTTGATGGGCCAGCACCACCAGCAGAAGCAGCACGAGGCGCATTGAGCCCTGGAAGATATGCACAGAAGAGGATGGAGGAAAGAGCCCAGCGCCGAGGTGACCGTGGTAATTCTTCATAATCCTCCTGCTGATGGTTTGGCTTCACCTCTGAAGCTGCAGCAGAGGTGAAAGGGAGGGGAGGGATGGGGCTGAGTGCGCCTCCCGGCCTCTCTCGCTGCTCCAGCACAGGATCAGCGGATTAAATGACGGCACAAAAGACTTGCCAGACATCATGCAAAACTGTTTAATCAGAAAATTGCCTCTTGACCAGCCCGAGACTTTCCAGCTGCCATGGAGATCCCCCTGCCTTTGTGAAAGGGCTGCGGCAGGGCAGAGTTAAATATCTCTTTATTAAATCCGAGTGGCGAGGATACAGTGCCAGCCTGTTTGCTTATTGCACAGAACAAGCCGTGACCCCTGAGGTCCAGAGGCAGCGACGGAGCCGAGAATGAATTGCAGACACTTCAGAGAGGAGCGATGATTAGATGCGGGGTCAGCCCGCGTGCCCCCGCCTCCTCCCCAGGCTTTCGGCTGCAGGGTCCCCACGGGTGCGAATGGGAAGGGTCAGAGCCAAGGGACCTCCTCGGGGCTGCTGTGCCCAAGCTGCTGCTGTCAGCTGCAAACCCACCAGGACACGCTGCCTCCTGCCCCAGCACAGAAAGGAAGGCTTTGAAAAAGAAAAGCCTCACGGTTTTTCTCTAAAATCACAAGAAAAAAGAGAAAAGATTGTTGCTGATGTCCCAGGGAGGGGAAAAAATCCCCCATTTCCTTTCCAGTTTCTGGAGGTGACCTGGTAGAGGATGATGCACAGACACACAAACCAGCCCTCACCTCTCTGCAGGTCCATACGGACCTGATCCCGGCCAACAGATCGGGCTGGTCGGCCACAAAATCTCCTGTACCTCCAGCACAGCAAGGCTTGGAAACCTGGTATCTGGGAGCAGACCCCAGATTTAATCACATCCCGTTTCACAGCTGCAGTCAATTCCTGCCACGGCTAAACAAGCAGGTTGCAGCAGCCATGAGTGCGTTCTATTAATTTTCCTCGGGAAAATTGAGTTTTTACTATCGTTTTGGCAGAGATGCTAATCAAAACAATTACAATGAATTGGTGAGAAATTGAAAACGCCTGCAACGAAACTTTGGGACAGAAGGACACCACTCTGGACACGTCCAAAGCCATGCTTTTCGGCAGAGGTAGGTGCCCTGTTGTTTTTTTCTATATTAAGCATTGGAAAAAGTAGTTCAGAAGCAAATCATCTGAGCTTGTGGAAGGCTGAGCTTCCCCTTACGTTTCGGTATACCGACAGTCATGCAGCCAGGCAATTATTCAGAGCAGGAAGGAGAAAAAGCCCAAAAGAGAGTGAAGACGCTTCTGCATTAGAAATAATGGACTAATGCATAAAAATAGGAATTTAATTCCCCCTTACCTATTTGACTTTGGACAGTGCCCTCAGGAAAGAAAAAAATAAGTCGCACTCCAACAAGTTCGGCGCTGATTTATCTTTCTGTAAGGCAGTTTTATTTTTTTCCCACCTTTTTCTTGTCTGGAAGCTTTCGAGCTCCTGGTGGTGCCATACACAGACGTAAGGCCTGAGGTAGTGGTGCCTGAGCTAAATTAGCCCGAGCTTTATTATAACAAAATGAATTAAAATAATTGCTTGTTCCCTGCTGAAGTGCTCATTCTGGACTAGCTCAGTAGTTACACAAATGCCGTTCCCACTTGTTTTTCATCAGAATCGTGATATTAAACATCCACACAGCCGTACACCAATACACCAAATGCCTTTTTTTTCCTAGAAAAATCTGGTGTTTCCATGAATTGTTCACAGTATAAGGAATTTTCCACATCTGCTGAGCCCTGTCCCTGCCTGGGGGACAGGAGGAAGGTCCTGTTTGCATGGCTGTGGGGCTGCAGAGCACTGCATCCCACCCTACTCCTCCCCACAGCAGCTTAAGGCTCATTAGTGGGGTCCTCATTGAAATGAAACCCCAGTGACTGGGATTCAAACAAACTCAGCGGTGAAGGCTCAGAGTGATCAAAACAAATCAGTCAAGACACGAAAGAAGAAAGGGCAAAGCAGAGGTGTGGCGGTACATGAGTGATTTCCGTGCTTTATTTCCCCCCCCCCCCCCAGCCCTCTCCATCATTCCTTACGAGATGATTAAGTTCAGTCAGAAGCAACATTGTGAGTTTGATGGCTGGGAGATCTGAGGTGTGGAGCTGTCAGGAGACGCTCTGCGTTTAGCATCTGTAATAACTCGCAGGCACCGTGACACGAGGCTGCTCGGCACGCGCTGGTCCCCGAAAAGACGCCGACTGCTTGTCAAACACGGGGACGCTTCTGCAAGAGCAGAAAGCCCCGGGTAAGGGCAGAAGACCAAGGGTGAATGAAGCCTCACCAGAAGGACAGACAGGTAGGAGCCGAAGCGTGAATTTGCATCCATCTAAATGCAAGCCTGGCCAAGATTTTCAGGAGAAACAGGCAGAAATATGGAAAAAACAAGGACGAGGCGCTGCCTTGGAGCCTCAGCACTGCATCAAGCAATGGCCAAAGCCCTGTCTGGGAGCCGGGCCAGCTCCCCAAGCAGACACACGCAGACACAAGCTCAGGTTTTCAGCATTCTGTTCACACCCAGCCCCTGTGAACATCAAGCAATAACATCCACTGCAAGCAGGAGCAGGAAACAGGCTCTGCCGAGCGGGTCCTGCAGCGATTGCCTTCAGAAGATTTACTCTATAGAAAGAGGCCGGTGCATTGGCTTTACAAGCAAGGAGCTGACCTCACTGGGATATGAATTTAATGCTGAAAAAGTGCAGACGTTCCCTATAAGCTTTTTCTGGCGGTCAGACCTTTTGCTCACCTGTTTGGACCCCAGAAAGTGATTCTTAGCATGCATTTACCGAGACACAAAACCATTACCGCCACCACAGCTTCATTCCTCCGAACAAACCAAGGTACACGCACAGCAGCACTGCACACGAGGAGCTCTGCTGGGACAGAAACACAGCCTAAAAGAAGAAACGATGCCCTCTGCCAGCACCAACATCCCAGGTTTGTTTTAAGCACCATGTCCCAGAGGAACTCAAATCCTTCCTTTCCTCTCCAAAACACCTCCTCGTAGGCAACAGCTGCAGGAGGAGCTTTATGGACCCATCTACTTAAGATGCAATCTGGTTTATTGCCAAAATTGTCCTCGGCATTTTGACAAAAGTAGAACTTGCCCGTTTACTGTTGCAGGAGGTGAGCGAGCACTGAAGCTCAACCGCTGCCCACCCCGTGTCGGCACCAGCACCGCGCAGCCACCCCACGGGCTCTGCTGCAACACTCGCCTGCCCCGTGCTGGGAAGCAGGGTTGGAAATAACCCCAGGATTTAACAAACCATCACCCCAAAGAGCGTGCCCACGGAGGAGACGTCCCAGTTGCAGGTGCCCTGGGTTGCTCCATCTCTGATCAGGACCAAGGATAAATCTGAAGGATAAAGCTGAATGTCAAACCAGTCCAGACAGAAAAAAAAACAATTACAACACTTTCTAACTTCACTTCCTTGGCACCGGTTCATCTTTGGTGGCTTTTGAAGAAGACAGTTATTTCATCACTCCATCCAAGCTGGCACTAAACATAAACTGCTCTTTTCCTACAGGTTTCTCAGGTACAAATCAGCAAAAGTGCTTTGTAATTTATTTGAAAGAAAAGAGTTATCTTATTTTTTAATGCCCTAAACAGTTACGTTTAGGATTGTTTGGGAAGAGCGAAGGCACAGAATCCATTTTCATGTTCTGTTACGTGAAGGCTCCCCAGGGGAGTTCTGGTGCATGCACCCCCAGCCTTGGTGTCCTGCAACCCCTGGCTCCCTAAAATCCTCCCTGCTCTCATTTCTCACCCGGGCAGCAAACAGTCCCTCGCCCTGCGCGTGGAGCTGGGGATGCTGAGAAGTCTTTAGGCTCTATTTATGGCTCTGCAAATGATTCAGTGAGTGACCTCGAGGAGAGTCCTTCCCCCCAGTGTGAGTCAAATCCTGTGCGCACTCACAAGTGCATCTGCCATCAGCATGAGTGCACTTATCCTGCGCCCGCGCTGGTGTAAATATGAAGAGAACTTGGTTCTCCTCTTCAGTCCTACCCTCTACCCTGCTATAAAATGTGACTCATACTGGCAATTCTCCCAGCGGAAGGTTGTAAGGCTAAATTAATGTGTGCAGAGTGTGTTGAGATGCTGAAAATTGTTTTATGAATGCAGGGTATTAATAATATTAGTGTAGTTACCGTAGAAGAGGAAGGTGATTTAGTGCTATTTGTGTCTGAGAATTGCCATGCACAAAAATGATGCCATTACCATAATGAAGAGGGGAAAAAAAAAAAAAAACATTATCAAGATTTATATGTAGCAAAAGGTAGCAAGGTGTCCTCACAAACTACTTCTTCCTCGCCCCTTGTGATTTGCACACCGGAGTGGTGCCAGGAAGCCCTGCTGGAGACCGGAGCCCCGGTGGGCTGAGTGCTGCGCAGGCGTTTGTGAGGGGCAAGCTGCTTCAAAGAGCTGATAAAAGGCAGTTACAGGGCTGCACATCGTGCAGTTCAGCAGCACCTCGCTTTCCAGCCATGCCCAAGACTGCTGAGCAGGATTGCTCCCAGCCCCGAGCATCGCCCACGCTGCTGATCCTTGAAACGTCCTCGGTGTCTGCCCCGGGGGGGAGGTCAGAAGGTCAGAAACCCCCTGAGAAGCAGCTAGGGACTCAGAACCACGTCTTTTGGCCAAGGATTTCACTGAGAAATCAGCGTTCAGCACCAGAGCCAAACACAGAGCCGGGGTCTGCCGGGTGCCCACACCTCGGGGATGCGCAACCCAGGCTGCAGGAGCGCCTACGGCTCGGCAGCTCTCGGCTCGTGGGCGCAGCTCCTGAAGGTTGATACCAGAGCTAAAACCTACCCACATCGCCACCAGGAAGCAGCTTTCTGACCGCAGAAGCCGTAGCAGCTTGCTGAAAGTTGGAGCAAACCACCAGGATGAATCAGCTGGGGAAGTTTGCCCATCAATAACGGAGAGCGGGAGAAAATTGAGCCAGGAGATCCATCTCCTCGTAGCCAGCTGCTTCTGCCCGTGGCCTGGGGACTGCACAGCAAAGAGGAAACGTGAGCTCACATCATGTCACAGGGGAGCGGCGAGCCATTATTTATCAAAGCTGAGCGAACAAATACATTTGCATCCATTAATAGTTCCGTGATCAATTACTGATAAGAACAAACCGCTCCGTCCTTCTTGATCTCCGAAGGCTCGCTGCTAATTTGGTCTATAGCACATTTCAGCTAATGAAGCCAAGCAAATATGAATCAGTCCACTCAGGGAAACAATAATGCCTAGACTTAAAGTGGAAAAGAAAGAAACCTCTTCTTCTCGATATGCTAAATTGATCATCTGTCACTTCTGAGGAGGTTCTTTGGAGTTAAGGGGATATGGCAACGCATCCCGGTACCTAGCGGTAGCGGAGGAGCAGCCTCGTTCCTAATTATCTCCTGTGGGAAGATGGAAGAAAACAGCAGTGTAGTAAACACTTAAAAACTACACACATTAATTTATGCCGGCTGCTGCCTTTGTATTTTGGAACAAGTTGGACTTTTTTTTTCCCCCTAATTGCTTGATGAAACATCCCATCAATCCTGTCGACACGAATAACGCCACTCAAGAGTGGGTGCCCACGAGCCACCCGCGTGGCAGGGGTGCTCCTAAGGGGCTACCAGCACGGTGCAGGGTGCTGGGGGAGAGCAGAGGGGAGAGGAGACCCCCAGCAGCCCTGGGGGCACTGCACGAGTGCAGCAAAATCACCTTTCTCTGGGTAAACTCCAGCTTTTGAAGTAAAACCACCAAAATTCTCCCCTCCCTCCCTATACTTCGAACAGCAGATTCCCATTTAACTTCTTTAATCCTAAAGGAATACCCTTAGCTATTTTTTTCCTCACTTAGAAAGGAAAAAAAAAAAAAAGCTAAAATATCTTAATAAAACCAACAAGGTTTCTGGGTATATTTCTGCGCTGCCTTTGAGTACCTCCAATTGAAAGGGGATAATTCATTAACTTGATGTCTGTATGGTTGGATTATTCCTTATTATTTTGGCTGCAGCTAATTTTTGGCAGCAAGAGTGTACAGGTTTGTTGCTTTCTGAAGAAGGTAGACCAGAGCATTCTCCTTGCAAGCAGCCCTGAATTGATTTGTCATTATTAACGGGGTAATTTACTCAGACGCAGGCAGGCCCCCTGCACTATGGGGCTGTCGGTCCCAGCTCAGGTTAGCACACCCTGATAAACAGCATCAGTGGGGACCAGCGGGGATTTAGCACTGGGAGCAGATCGAGGAAGGTGCCAGGCTCAGACCAAGAGGGTTGGAGGGGAAAAGTGATGATCCTAAAGCCCAACGTGCAGGGGATTCAGCCCCAAGGCTGGTTCAATGCATCCATCCATCCTCACCGCCTGGGTCACTGTGTGGAGGCATCCTCCTGCCGAGCATCTATCTGGGACAGTCCTTGCGACCCCAAATCAGAGAAAAAATGAATCCTTCAGGCTTTATTCAGCTTTGCTTGCCTCCGATTCTGCAGGTTCGTGCCGTGCAGGCAGACCGTGCCCGCAGCCCTGTGCTGGGGATGCAGCACCAGCTCCACGCACGCAGCCGTCAGCGCCCTCATCCATCACCTCCGCCCCAAGGCAGCCCACGCCGAAGGTCCCAGCTTCAGCTCCAGGCGGCTTTCATCCATCAGGCTGCTTCCAAAAACCCACTGAAGGCAGTGCAAGGCCCTGTCTGCATTCAGAGGGAGCACAACCAGAGCTGGGGGTGGCCCGCAGCAAGCGGGCTCATTAGGAAGAGCGGCGGCATCCTCGCTCCTTACCTGTGCATCATGCTGTCACCCCGACAGGAGCCCACAGACCCGCACGTGCACGTAACAGAGATGTTGTTTAGCAGCTTGTCAGCAGCTGTAAATTGGCCGAGGAGCGGAGCTGTTTGCATTCTCCACGGGGCTTGAACTGAGAATTAAACAGTGGCAGCAACCGCAGCTGCTGCCTGGTGGAGCAAATCAATTCTCTGCCTCCCTCCCAGCCTGGGTTCTTTGCAGCGTCAGCCACGCAGGACAACATTAGGCAGAGACCTTCGGGGCCGGCAGGAAAAGGCAGTGAGAGATCACGGCAATTAGCCTGAAGGGTCCCCAGGGAACCGAGGAAGAAGGAGAAGGGGGTAAAACTCAGGATCCGAGCCCTCCATCTGTCTGCACGCTGCTTTAATTGATCCGGGAGTCAATCAAAGCCGCCGAAGCTCTTACTCAGCGCAGCTGAACTCAGCGCAAAGCAAGCAAATAAAGGGCAAAAGGGCAGGGTGGGATCCTCCAGCAGCTCTGCCCATCTCGATGGAAGGTTTGGCACGGGTAACAAATCACTCAGCAGACGGGGAAGGCAGGACTCCACGGCATCCCCCCGCTCACCAGCTGATGACAGGGTACACCAAAACCAGGTTTACGACGACAAATTCAAATACACCCCTGCACTCAGGCTGATGGGGAGCATCTGAGCACACAGCGAGTGCACAGCACCAGCCTTCAGGGATTAAACACCTTCAGAAAAGCATCCCAGGAGGGCTGGAGCTGCCATCCCTGGGGTGGGGGGGCACAGGCTCCCGGGGCCAGGGCTTTCAGCCTTCTCCTGACAGCCTCTGCTACAGCCGCAGCCCTTTACCCTCTCTCCAGCCAGCTCCGGCGGCTGTTCCCCAGGCCAAAAGTAATTAGGAGGAATGGTTTGTAAAGGCGGGCCATCAATAACCCACCTTAAAACGGTGACGCGTGGGAGCCAGGCAGTCCATCACAAGGCAGTGACGGATCGCCCGGCCAGCCGACCACAGAGAGAGGAGTCCTCGGGCACATTAATCATCCCCAATCCCGGGATAACCCCGGAGACCTTGCCAAACATTAGCAACACTTGCCTTCATCCCTGCCCGCTGCTTCTTGCCTTCCCCTTGCTATTTCTCATTGGTAATTTCCACTTTTTCCACTCCCACGGTGCCTCCCCAGTCCGTTAGGCGAGCCAAAGATGTGGATACAGACGGGAAGGGTGCCCACAGCCCCATTTCCACACTATTGGGGTGTCCCAGAGCTCACCCTGCAGAAGCTCAGTGCCATGCTGGGACGCTGCCCTCCCCAGAGCCCCCTCCCCGAGCATTCACTGGATGCAGAACTTCAATTAGTTCGGCGCGGTCGCCTTTTGCTCGGCAACATCTGTTTTGCATGGGCGAGGGAAAAGGAGGCAAGTGGTAAACATCATCTTTATTTTAGAAGGAAGACAAACATTAAAAGCCTCTGCACTGCCCTTTCCAAAGCCCTCTGGCTGTCTGATTTCTCTTCAGAAGACAATCCTGTTATTGCAACCAGCTCCGGGGAGCTGTTTTCTTGTGAGTGGTGCGCATGCAGAGAAATTACGCTGCTCCTGAAGAGCTCTTACGTGCATCGAGATGCTCCGTCAATGCCCAGCCTGGATGATTAACCCCAGGCTTTGGCTCTCCCATTCAGGCTGAGATGCTCTGTGGAGGCGGCTGCTTTCCCCCTGCTTTGGGGAGCAGAGCGCGAGACAGCTGCTTCCCCGCTCGCTCCTTCCCTCTTTATGGAAAGGTCAGCGCCAGCACTGCCGAAACGGCACGAGGCTTCCCGGAGACTGCTGAACCCAGCTGGTGACAGGAGATGGTGTGGGGGGCACAAGGCTGGCTGGCTGGCACAAAGAGAAGGTGTTTTGCCGCCTCATTTTCTAACCAGGAGTGGAAAAACGCAGCTGGATAACAACCTGCCAACAACGCGTCCCGATTTAAGGGGCTCAAGATGTGGTCAGAAGGGGGAAAAAGCATCAGAATGTTGTCTACAAGTGGGTTTTTCACCTGGACATCTCTGGATCCAAGGGGATGCCTGCTAGGGAGAGGTGTTCAGGCAGAAAGCAGCCGTCCACACGGGTTACCTCTGCCCAGGGGTTTGCCAGTCCCCTCCAGCCCCTAACCAGGATGCAACCACGCTCTGTGCATCCCTACACCAGTGTCCCCATCCCCATGGGGGATGTACCTGGGACAGCCTCAAACCTGGCAACCTCTAGGCAGTGAGGACCCTGATAACTGCAGGATATTGCAAGAGGAAAGGCTGAGTAAAAAAAAAAAATGCAAGAGATCTGTCTGTGCCCTGTGCACAACCACCTCTCCTGGCCCCGGAGCAGTTTGCAGAGCTCCCAACCTCCCAGGGAAGCATCAGGTTTAGAGATTAGTCTGCATCTAATTCCTTCCCGGAGGAAACATGTGCCTCGCTGAAATAAACATCGCATCAGCGGCAGATAGAAGCCTGGATCCTGCAATGTGATTCCTATCGGGTCTAATCTCATTCCTCAGGCACCACGCAGCTCACATGTGCCTCCTTCCCAGCAAAGGATGTCTGCAAACTCCTGCACGTCTCTGGCTTTGCTTTTTGGTGCGTCCATCTGCACAGAGAAGGCTTTTGGGGAGGCTGCAAGGTGTAAGCAAGGGGCTGGGTCAGGCAGGAGGTGATGGCTGGAGGTGATTTGGCAGGATGTGGGGGTGATGGCAAGATCAGGCTTGGTATCTGGATGCTCGGTGCTGTGCTTCTGACACGGGTGCTGGGAACATCTTGTTCCAGCACCGCTGGTTGACAAAGATCAGGCAGCATTAGAGGGGATCACTTGGCAGAGCGAGCCTTTGAAGCCTGGATTAGTACCCGTGGGTTATCTCCTCTCCGTTCTTCAGGCTGGGATGAGAGGAACAATTGGATCATTAGCAGTGCTCTCTAATTGTGCTGTGATGAAAGTAATCAGTGCCTGGCACCTCCTGAGCACCAGGAGCAGGGGACAGGCTGCTCTGCTAGCTCCGTGCCCATCTCACAGAGCAGCCCCAAGCAGCCTCTCTGCCCCCAGACCCCGGCACGCCGAGCCACAGCCTGGTGTTATCCCTCTCCTTATTTATTTCTACCTAAAGAGGCAGAGCAGCTCTTCATCTCCATCCCAGGAGGAAGCCTCAAAGGCAAAGAATTTGAGGGAGAAAGCGTTTCTTTTTGTCGTAGCTACATTTGGCACCGATCTCCTCTTTCAGGTGCTCCGGAGATTGATTTCTGCATCAGCCGTCTCTCGCTCGGGTTTCTGGCCCGACAGTGCCGCAGCACCAACTACAGACAGGTTACAGCAGCGCTCGATAGGAAACCCCATTAGGGAGCGGGATGTGACAGCTGCTGCCTTCCTGCTGCCTGCAGCTGCCGCCTGCCACCCGCAGCAGCTCCAGCAGCGGAGCCACGGCGAGAGAAAAGTTACAAGGCTCGGAGCAAGGCAGCATCGCCGAGCTCCAAGCTCCGACAGCTGGCGTTGCTGATCCACAGACCTGCCCAGGCAGACAGCAGCTCCTCCTGCTCCTCTCCTTTATTTTATTTAAATGGAGAATGGGGTTGTGCACGTCTGTACCTACCCTGGATTTAATTGTATTAATGAGAACATGCAGTGGTAGCCCCCACCAAAAGCTGCAGCGAAACCCAGCATTATTTCGGCTCAGAACCACGCCAGTGAACCCAAGTGAGGTGGGGGCACTGGTGTCTGGCCCCCATCTTCCACCTAAAGCATCCCTCAAAGCAATCACAGATACCCGAACCATACGACGATGCCACATCCACACCAGCACCTTGAGCACACCCAAAACCCGAGCCGAGATTTGCCAGAAAAATAAATCCATCCCTCGCCAAGCCTTGCCAAACCCTTCCATCCTCGAGCTGGGCGTCCCTGGGCTTCGGGAAGGGTGGGAACAGTCCCAAAATAAGGATGGAGGAGCCAGTTTCCCCACTGAAGGATTCCCCGGGCAGAGGGAGGCTCCTGCACGACCGACTCCTGCCCCCTAGCGCTGCTCCAGCCCTGGAGGAGAAGGGAGAAAAATTGGGAGAAATGCCTCGGCTTGGGGAAAAAACCTCCGAGGAGGCCAGGGAGGTCAGGCAGGGGGGCAGAGGTCGGAGTTAGAGGGTCTTTGTGCCGATGTGAAGCGATGTGGGGATGGAGAACAGGGGCTCTGTCTCTGGATGCTGCAGGATGTGACCCCAAGGCAGGGGCTGTCCTGACCCGGGTGCCCTCCTGGGGAGCTCGTTTGATGTGGGGGCAAAATGCGCCTGGAGGAATGCCAGACAGCAGCCCCCGAGGCAGGACCCCAATTTCTGCTCACCCCCCAAGAGCCCTTACATGGGGCAGGGAGGTCACAGACCCGGAGCGGGGAGGACCCTGCACACTCCTGCCTCTCTTTAATGCCCCCTTTTCATGGGCACAGCTCCAGTTTTGGGGGTTTGTTGGCTGCATCCCCCATCCACCTCCTGTCCTCAAGCCCTACAGATCCCCTCACCTCTCCCCATCCACCCCAAACCCACCCAGACACCCCTACCTCATAACCACGTAAATCCATCAGTCCCTCAGATCACCCGGAGATGCACCGGGGAACTGTGCTCACCGGGACAGGGGGCTGCACCCCTGCACCCCATTAAATCCCCCACGAAGCTCCCAACCCATGCTCTGGGCTGCTCAGCTCCTTCCCTCGTCGCTCCCCATCACTGCCACCTTGGCAGAGCGTTTCTCCGAGTGCTGTCGCCGCGATAAGCAGAACTATTAGGCAAATTTGTTATTGACTGGTTCATATTAGACTACTTTTTTTCATACTTTCATGGCAACACCACTAATAAAAATGCACTTTCGGGATTTATGGGTTCGTAAAGCTGCTTTCGTGTACCTCGGGGAATCAGGGGATTAGAGCTGTATTAAACATCTCCAGTGAAAATGCCACTCAGGTGAAAAAGGGGAGGGGAAGGGGGGGGAATTCAAGGGCAAGGAACAAGTGAGAGCAAACCTGGCAAAAAATATGGTTTTAATATATTATCTAAAGAATAAAAAGCCCATAAAAAGTTATCGTCAGGCAGGAGGAATTCATCTCATCACCGCTTGTGAATTCTGCCTGGGAACTTCCTCCGTGGATGAGAGTCATTAAGTTAAAGCAAGACGGCAACGTGCAGCCTACCTGGATGGAGAAAGGAAGGAAAGGGGGGGACGTGGGGTCATTAGCAGGAATCCTTCCTCCCTCCACAAAGAAATTAACACATATCAAAGGCAGGAGCTGTTTTCTGTGATGCTGGAGAGCCTTTGGGGGATCCAGGTTTGGGCTGGGAGAGGGAGCAGAGCGATGACCTTGCACAGCAGTGACAAACTGCCGCGGGTGTCACCAGGGATTACCCAGAGCTGCAGCCCGTTTGAAGTCTGCACGACACCTTATCTCGGAAATTTTGTCTCGTACTTGAGATAATTTTGCCAGGGGAAGTTATCTAATTCCAAATATCGCAGACTTGTGGCCAAAAAAAAAAAAAAAGTCAAAGTAAAAAAAGAGGAAGTTGTTAAAGCTCTCTTTTTCTCTAAGCAATCACTTACTGAAAAGTCATCAATACTGAGGCATCTTCACAGAGCCTTTGATCCCAGCAAAACTACTCTTTCCACTCCGGTTAAAAAAAATAAAAGAAATTCAGGCCATGCCTCCGTAGGTGATCTAATCATCAATTCCGAGGAGTTAGTCAGGATTTATGCTGATATCAGAGCAGAACCTACAGCGCTCGCTACAAAGTGCTTTAGGATCTGTTACCAGCAGAGCTAAGCCATTAAGTTTCTTTAGTTTTCAGCGAGATTTAGCAAAAAGTTGCTACTTCTTCAAACCCTTTTGGGCCTGAATCTACCATCGGTGACACAGCCCTGCTCTCCCATGCAAGCAGGGTCCCTGCCCTGTGCCCACCTTCAGAGCAGGGCCCAGCCCCTGCGTCCTGGTGCTGTGTTTTCTCCTCCTTTCTTTGGCAAAAAGCCTTGGAGGGAAGTTGCCCTCAGCAACCACTCGGTTTACAAACGCCACGCTCTCGAGACATCGGAATCAGGGGTATACATTGCTGTAATTAATCCTCCGGGGGCACTAACGGCATCGGCAGCGCTGCCGGTGTTAAGCCAGCTGCTGCCGAGCAGCCTGTGCTACCCAACCAAACATTTCACACCCTGCAAACATCCCCTGCGATGGGTGCCGCTGAACAGACCATAAATCTGCCCCCACCTCCCCGCACGTGGACGAGCACAGGAGTATATCCCAAAGCACAGCCCTGTCCTGCACCCCGTTTCAACCAAAATCAGCATTTTCCTTCTCTTTTTCTCCATCCAGGGCAGTCGCAGGCTGCATATCCCCAACACACCCATAATTATATGACAAAAATCACTGCTCCACCACCAGCACAGATGCACCCAGTGGCTGAAGGAGCGTGGTTTTTGTTTGTTTGTTTTTTCCCTGCAGAAACACTTCTTTCCCAGACTGATGCTTATCAAGGAACAAGCACCCTTTTCCTCAGACACCCCCGGATTTGGGTCCCCGAGGGTGCCAACACCATCATTTCACTGGGATCTTTTCCCAGCCAGCGAGTGTCTCAGCAGCGATCTGAGCACAGCCTGTGTGCACAGCTGGGTGCTCGCAGAGCTTTCCAGAGGTGAGCTGAGGCTCAGCAGGCCCTTTACAGATCCCAGCTGGGTGTCTTCCTTTGCCTTCACCTGCGAGAAGCACTGTCACGGCACTACAAAGGATGTCCTAGCAAGCTGCAGGACGCAGCAGGACCGCCAGCCCCGCTGTGCACTGTGATCTCCCCAAGAGCTGCGGCTCCCCGCGTCCCATGGATGAGAAGATTCCCTCGTTCTGTCTTTTTGGAGACAGAGCAAAAACAAAAGACCGTACTGTGCTTAAACCCCACGGTATAATAAGCTCTGTGATGATGAAAAGCGGAAAAAGCAGTAATATATGTGATACCAGGTGAGAAACATCCTGTCTTAGCTCAGTTAATATCACTTATGTGTATGACAGCCCTATCATAGCAGCCACAATAAGATGAACGATAGCAGAGATCAGTAAATATTATCTTCCTCCTGCAGAAAGGGAGCGCGAGTCCCAGAAGCATTTAAGCAGTTTACCGAGCCCCAGAAGAGAAAAACCTGATGCAGGATTAGCAAGAGGAGCTTCCCAGAGCACACCGCTGCATCCAGCTCCTCCGCGCTCCCCCCACCACAAGGCTCGGTTTTACAGCAGGGAAAGAGAGGCTCGAGCAGGGGGCTGCAACAGCCACCTACGCTGCTGCTGTCAAGACGTATCGTGCTTTTTTTCCCTCATTTATCTGCTCCCCAGCTGCACGTTAAGAAAGTCCTTGCCTGGCCCATCTGCAGGGACCAGATTGTGCAACGGGAGGAGCCTTCCCCCACTGCTTCCAGGAGGGGCAGGATGCTTAAATACCTTAATTAAAGCCGATCCTGAGCTCAAGATCAAGAACTGTCATGCTTAAATACCTGAATTAAAAGCTGATCCTGAGCTCAGGATCAAGAATTGCCTTGTGTTTACGTGCAGTCTTGCCCTGGTGGATTATTATGAAGGAGGACCCAAAATGGTGCAAGGCTCTGTGGCACGGTGTGTGGACACACAGCAGTGTGCAAGCTGCAGGTGGCCATCCCCTCGCTTGTGCAGGCACTTTTTGGAGGTCACAGGAAGGGAACGACCATGGCAGATGCACCGGAGCTATGGATTACATTAAGGGAGACTTTGTCAGCTGTTGGAAACAGGGATCTATTTTAATGGCACAGCGCTGTTTTACACGGAGCACCCAGCTCAAACGCGTCAGTTATACATACGCAGACACAAAACACAGTGGATTAAAAATCACTAGGGTATTGATTTTCATGTTCCAGGCCATAAAAGCCTATCTGGAATGGGAATTAATAGCTCCCTGCCCAACTGTGCTGGTGTCAGGTGTGTTACAGTGCACAGGGGAAGGACCGGGTCCTGTCCCCAGCTCTGACCACTGATGGAGACGGTCCAAGACATCAGCCACTGCTCTGGCATGGGGCAGCAATCCCCACGGCTTAATGCTTCTGAAAAAAAAAACACCTTGGATTTGCAAAAACCCTGGTCTGCACATGGAGACAGGCAGAGAGCTCCCAGGCCTTTCACACGCTGGTGAGAGGCAGGCGAATGCCAAATGCAGCGATAAAAACTGCAATATGCAAATAATTGTCATCAACTATAGGCAATCAGCCGTGCTGCCACAATTCTGCTCAACTTCCAAAATAGTTTTCTCGAGTCTCTCATTTTCTTTCCACAATTACCTTTTCTTCCTGACAATCAGATACTTGCAAACAATCATCCAGAGGACTCGGGAAAGAGCTATGCTAAACACAGGGTTGTAATAGGAGAAATTTCTCGTTAAAATATTACATTGCTTTTCAGGCATGTACAATGCCACTGAGAAATTTTTTAATGCAGCAACACACGCAGCCCAGGATTACAGAGAATCAAATTCTGCTCTCCAGATTACCGTGGTGTTGCCAGACAGAGTCCCTCCATGTCTATGTTCTGGTTTATAGCCCAATTACCCTGGTAATACCTTTTCTCTGGACACACATTTAACTGTTTCTGAAGCCTTCAAGTTGTACAGTGCTGCGATTAGGTAAAGGCAATTCTATTTCGGGACTTTGGTAGCAACGTGCATTTTAAGTACAAGTCTTAAATGTTTTCTCACCAGATGGAGTTTGCTTGCATTGCCAGGTAGGAGGGTTTTGCTGAGCATTATTTTAACTAACATCGAGCCTATTTGAGTCCCTCGCTGCTGTAAAACATTCTGCAGTTCCCATGCATCCCCCTCCTGCCTGCCTCGGTGGCAGGACCCAGCTGGGCACTGTAACCCTGCCCCGAGCACAGCTGCAAACGCGCTGACCAAGCATCCCTGGCACAACAGCAGCCACTTTGCTTGGGAGATGCATTTTCCTGCTGTTTTCCCTTTTTTTTTTCCTAAGCAGGCCAGTGAACAAGACCTGTGATTAAATGCCAATAGGGGAAATGAAAGCCTTTGTGGGTGTTAAACCTCCGTCGCTGTTCATAAAACCAGGGAGTCGGAGTTATTTGCCGCTGGGGGGTAAGTACAGAGGAAGGAGAGCCGAGCAGACCCAGGCGACAGCACACCGAAGATAAAGACGATGGAAACTCTGACTGTCTCCGGTGACTGGCAGGGAACTTCCCCGAGCTTTTCAGAAGAGAGAGGACTTCTGCCTCCGGGAGCTCCCTTTGTCAGCCTCCCAGGCAGGAGGGGAGGCTCTGCTGGTTTCTTCTGGATTAAAAGGGCTGCTATTGCCTCCTGGAGGTGCCTGAACAACTGTGCTTAGACACAGCCTCCCTCTGCCACACGTCTTCCCCCTGCCTCTGCTTCAAAAAGGAGGGAGAGGGCAGGATGCTGATGTTCACCGAGGGGGGACTCTGCCTCCCTTTCGGAGGACGGCTGCCCAGTGGTAGCTCCTGCTAGAGCCTGGCCTTTTTCCTACAGAAACCATTCTGCCTGGTTTCAGTTACACTTCCCACACCTTTTCATGCTTTCTGGGAGGATAACGCTCAAATTGCAGCAGCCCCAAGATTTCAAACCTTTGCCCCAGAATTTCAGCGTGGCACACAAGTGTGAGATGGCAGCCAGCACCCTGCAGAAAGCCATCCCAGGGACTTGAGCCCAAAGCATCCTTCAGGCACCGAGCAGAGCTCATCCCCGTCCCAGCAGCTACCACCAGGCTCCCAAGAACAGCCCGATAAAGCCAGAGCTCCACCACCACGTGCTGCTTCAACCGAGCGCTCATCCAAATGCTGACAGATTGATGGAGCTGGAAAGGAGAGGGGTAGGAGCACCCGGAATACATCATCGAGATATTAATACAAGAGATGTCGTAGTGATAACTTTCTCATTATTTCCACGTTATCGTAATTTCACGTAAACTTCTCCTCACCAACACTGCTCCTGCCTGCCTCTACACTTGTTCTGAGCTGGATCTGCCCCCCAGCGATGCTAATAATGGCTTCCGGATCATTTTTATTCATTTTGTGTGTTTCTCTCACAGTACTTCATGTGACTTATGTATCCCCTGAAGCTCATATTTCTATTTGAATTGCAGGGCAAGTAGTGGGTTTTAACATTCTGACTGCACACGCATTCTCCTCTCCCTCAAAATGAAAGATCATTTGAACTTTGAATTGCATTAGCATGACATTTTTCTACTAAATTACCCTGGCTGCACTCAGTCTGAAGAGAAAACCCCCTTTTTAACTTTGTGTAGGTTATGTGAACATCTGAACACCGGAGGTAATGCACAGGGGAGAGAAGAGGACGGGAAAGGCCTGCAGCACCGCTTGGCATCCTCACCCCAGGAGAGGCAAAGGCCGTCTGCGAGTCCTCCAGGTCTCAGCCAGGGTTTACCAGACCCCTTCCCAGGACAGACTGGGAGCACTGAGGTCTGAACATCACTCACCAGCAGCCCTGCTGCCAGCACAGCTGGGATGGATTCATTTTCACTCTCCAGGAGGAAAAGACTGGCTTCTGCAGGCCACCCACCCCCTGCACATTCCTCCTGGCCACTGCAATGTAAGCACCGCCAATATTTAGAGTCTCTTTTTAAAGCCCACTACATGGGCAGCATCTCTGGTGGTTAAAAAAAAATAAATCCCTGCTCTCCCTGGGTTGCAGGATGCCAGATCCCACTCAGACCTCTGCGCACACAGGAACAAGGATGGGATCTGACCCCCAGGGTAAGCTCCAGTCATTTTTAAGACAACCTCGTGCTATCAACTGGTGAGTGATGTTTTAGGCCTGCAGAGACGCTCCTGCTGCCTGTGCTACCTCAGCTCACAGCCAGATTTATCCCCCACCCACCAGTGGTTTGATGGAGTGATTCGCACATTTGCCTACCTCAGCTTGCACTGAGACCCTTTTTCACACCCAGCCGGGCTCCTCACAGGGTGAAGCTCCTGGCTCTGCAGACCTCTGCCTCTCCCATTTACAGGCAATGCATTTCCATCTGAAGAGGAATTTAAAAACTATTAGTCAGGGAACATAGCAGATAGTAACTATAGCAATGCATCACTCACAGCATGGTAATTACACACCACCGGGTTGCCTGTAAAAGCTGGTCTACCTGGCAGAAAATGGCAGTAATCAGCCTATTGGCAGCAGACAATACAGCATCATTTGTAATTCTTATGGCTGCATGTTCTTCGTTTCACAGGGGCTGGATGCTAATCAATGAGTTGCCATGGTTACCCGACATCCACGGCCATCAATACACAATGAGATGCAAGGAAATTAGAGGGGCTTTCAGGCACCACTGCTGGGGGGACCTGGCTGGCCACAGCCTCCCCCCGACACCATGCCAGGGGTTGGAAGCTCGGTGCTGGGGCAGATGGTCTGAGCTCTGCTCCTGGCTTCCCCTCGGTGACCGAAGTGACACAGCAGCAAGAAGCCAACTTTTTGTTCTGAACAAAGCCACCCTCCAGCTCCGGGCATTGAAGAGGGTCCCTAGGAGAGGATGAGGGTGGCAGAGCCAAAGCATCGCCATAGAAAGACAAGGGGTGTCCCCTAAAAGGGAGCAAGGAGCAGCCTTCATCCTGCAACCTGAGGCTGGAAAATGAAGAACCAGGGACTAAGTGACATGGCCAATGTCCCACGAGGAATTGGGAGCAGCAGGCAGCACAGCCTGCCGCTACTGAATGCCAGCCCACAGGCTTGGCCAAAGTCAGGAGTAAAACCTGCCCCAGCTTCAGAGGTGTTTCATCTGAGGCAGGCTCGAGTTCCCAGGAATAGCAAGGCTTTTTGCTAATAACCTAATTACTTTAATATGCAGCAGCATTAAAAAAAGAAAATGACATTTGAAGTTTGTGAAATGCAAGTCGAGCTCTGAATCAATTCCTTCGACTGTTCTTATTAAAGTAATTAAATCACCTGTTGCGTGCTGGAATCTCCTGGGAAACCAGGAGAGCTTTTCCTCTTGGGGGGCTCACAGAGGGGACCTGCTGTGGGCACCCAGCACCCAAATGCTGGCTCAGGGTGCTGCTGGTCACAGGGCTGGTGGTCCCGAGCCACACACACGAGCACCAGGGAGCCCCCTGCTCCCTGGTGCTTGTGTGCCACGTGCCGCTGAAGGGCCATCCAAGCTTTTTGAAGAAAGCCTCTCGATAGCAGCGAGCCTTTTCTGAAGGCACCGAAGGATTATCGCACGCGGCGCCGCCTTTGTGTTTGTGCACAGGCACACAAAGGGGACGCCGAGCCTTGGATGCTCATTTCGTTTTGTCTCCGTTCCCTCTCTGCTCCAATGCGCAAGCACATCCATGGTGACTTAAAAGAAATGTCCAGGGGGGGTTTCACAGGCCAGGCACGCCGAGTTTCATGGATGAAATGAGATGAACAGGGCAGCAACAGCACCGAGGGGCAGGCTGCCTGCTGATTACAGGAGGACACAGGCCTTAGGCCCAGCAGGCCCTGGCCCAGCACTGGGAGAGCACGGACAACATCCCAAGCAGATTGTAGGAGAAAAGAGACACCACATGTGCTATCATTTCTGAACTACTATGAAGGACAAGCTCCAAGGAGCTGCTTGCCACGGGCTGACACAAGGAAAGTGCTGCTTTACAAACACCAGGCCCAAACCGCGCACATGCGAAATGCATGAGCTCCGGCTATTAGCAGCGCTGCTCTCAGGTGGCTCTCAGCAGGCCCCCTGGCACAGAAGAAGGTTTGTTGATGTGCAATAATATACACAGTAAACACATTTTAGCATGCACGAGAAGCAGGACCACAAGCTCTCAAGGAGAGGGCCGGGATGGGCAGAGGGGAGCTGACCGGGCTGCCCTTGGAGCCCCTCTGTGCCCACCAAGGGCCTCCCTTTCCCCTGGCCAAAATAAAGCCTTTCCCAGCTGCTCAGGGTTTCAAAGGGGATTTTTCTTCCCTCTCTCACAGCGTTTGCTATAGGTACACAGCTCCCAGATCCCCAAAACTCTACAAAAAAAAGAGCAAAATGGGACGGCCAGCACCAACATTCAGACCTCAGCACATACCTGCTCTCGTTCGCTCACCCCAAAGCCAATTCCCTCTCTGCACAGGAGCATTTTGGCTTTTTCTCCGGGTCCTGAAGCATTTCCCTCATGGGGGCTGTGTCCTTGAAGACCCCTGCAGGGCTCCCCTGTCCCACCCCCCAGTTAACCCCCACCTGGAAAGGGCACAGCCCCTCCCGCAGCTGGGGGCAAACAACTTCTTCCTTGCCTTTTTTTTAATTGTTAATTTTTGAGAGTGATATTATTGGAAAAAAATGAAAAAACTGGCAGTGGGGATGCTTCCAAACAGCACCAGCATCCTCTTGTGGGCACGGCGAGTCCTGCAGCAGGAGCTGGGGCTGCCTGCAGGGAACCAGCCCGGATCAGACAGGGAAGGTTTGGGCAGGGAAAGGCAGTGCCCTGAGCTCCAGGTGTAAAAATAAAACTAATAAGCATAAAGCTACAGAGCCAACCGTTCACAGGATGACTACATCATGAACCATCCGCAGGATGACTCCATCATGCTCAGCTCGCAGATGTGATGCAATTAACCGGGAATTACACGTGAGAGACCTTGCATTAAAAGGGCTTCACCTGACAAAATCACCTGGTGACTAAGCAATTACAGCAGCTTTCTGACAAGATCCCACCCTCCCTGTTGCACTGCCTCAGCTGAGCACTGATTTAAGTCACTGCACACAGATAAGGCAGGCGATCTCGTCAGGAATCCCATTTTTCCCCCTGGTGTCTGCTGCTCAGGCACAGCCGTGATGTTATCTCCCAGCACGGACCACTGAAACCACCGCAGCCTGCTCCGGGCTAGCCGAGGACTTACTCAGAGCACTGCCTTTCATTTGCCTCCTCTTATTAAGCACAGCATAGACACAGCAAGAGATGGCCCACAAGCACATTAAGGACTATGTAGATGAGAAGGGGGGTTGCCAAAACCATCCAAACCCAAGAACTGGGCCAAAGCCAGCAGCATAATCCCCTCATTTCACAGCGGGCACAGCATTGCTAAATCCCACTCCCTCTCCAGCCAAATCCTGCCTGTTCCCACCTCCACAGCCCCACATCATGATCTTCTCAGCTTTGGCTTCCTAATTCAGCTCTTTAAGAAAGACAGACACTCCAAGAGGACACGGATTGCTGCACAGTGAGCTGTCGTTGGAGGTTTTAAGGAGAAGGATCAGGTCGGGGAGGAAGCCCAGACCTGGAGCTGCAGGAGCCCCAGCAGTGCCATCACAACCCTTCCTTACAACCTGTTGGGCCTCAAGACTGATATTTGGGCAAAGTTATCTTCAGTGGCTGTGCAAAGCCTGCCTCCCCAGCCAGGCTTAGCTTAAATCAAAGTAAAAGTGGTTTAAACTACTCTGGAGGAAAGAGAGAGAAGAATAGCTGCTTCGGGTCTTGTTCTGATTTAGTGAAACCACTTTATATTTGTGTTTATGCAGGGCTTGCCTCAATAAATCCCTGGATTACTGCCTGCGTTTATAAGTGATTTAAGTTGGTTTAAAGGATTCTAGCTTGCGATAGTGTAGCCAAATTGGTAATTCACACCAGGGCAAAATAAATAAGCAAATGGCAGAGAAGGGCTCTTAGACCAGGCTGACACTGATTTCCTGTGCTCTGCCTCCTGCTCCTCCCCGTTTCTCAGGCACAGCCGTGCTGAATCCCCCAAACCATCCCCGTGGGGCCTTTTAACCCAGTTCAAACATCCTGCATTGGAGCTTGCACGGAGAGCGGGGTTAACCAATGCCTAGAAAGTGCCGTGAAGCCCCCCAGGAGCCCAGCACAAGGCAGGATGCGAGGTGCAGCCGTGGGAGCAGGCGAGGGGAAATATTTGGGCACGAAACGAGCAGATCTCCATTCCCCTTGAAGGATCGCTGCTATTGCCTCATCTCTGCTAAGGTCTGAGCACTCCTGAACCGGGACTGTGCTGGAGCAGAGACAAGGTCTGAGTCATGATTTAAAATAAAAACTTGCCTAAAAATACTTCCTGGCAGCGACTCCCTCCAGCACGTGGCAAAGTAACCCTGCGCCCTCCGGTCCCGACCCAAATCTCAGCCCAGGTGCTTTGGAGCTCCATTTCGTGGCAGGGCAGATATAGAGGGCACGGGAAGCCCCTTACCCATGCCAATGCAGCTCCCATCTCTGGATTCCTCCTGTGCAGACCCCCCCTCGCTGCTGGGTGCCCCCGACCCTGCTCGCCCTCCTGCCGAGGGACTGACGTCTCCGCAGGACCGAGCCCTGCTCGGCTGCTCCCGCTGCTCTAATTGCATATCTGCGAGGTGGAGAGCTGCTGTAACCACAGCCCTGGCACGCTATAAAAGCAAACGGAGAGCCGTATGTGATCATTATGCAAAGGACTCGCTCCTTTATGGGGTTTGGATTATAGTTTGTAATATACGAAGCTAAACTGCAGAGTGCGTTTGGTTTTATGGGCGCCATAAACCCAAGTGGCTGGGAGGGAGCGAGCGAGCCTGGCAGCAACACGAGGGCTTCTCAGATCCATCACGGGGCAAGTGGTGCCAGGAAAACCCCAAAATGGGGATTGTGTCTGAGCCTCTTTGCCAAAGGGCTGCCTGAGCAAGCACTGTGCCAGGGTATGGGGTGAAGGAGCCCTTGGAAGCACCCCCAGAGGAGCAGCATGTCCCATCCTGACTCATGTGCAGAGCAAAAGTGCAGGAGGAAGGGAAAGAGCACGGCTTCCCCATCTTTTTGGGGGGATGAATATTCCCCAGGGCAGAGCCCAGGTGCCCAGGAGGCTGGAGAACCCCCCAGCTATGGAGGAGGGTGCCAGTGGTGTCAGCCCCCCTCACCCCGGCTGCAAATCTCCTCCTTTCTTGTGGTAATTGCCAATGCTCCCACTGCCGTGAAAATCAAATTACTCGGTGCAGAGATAAGGGAGCCCCACGCCGGGGGCCGCGTGGCAGCTGGTTATCACAGGGATGCAGGGGAGAAAGGGATGGAAAATACAAGGGGAGCAGCTGGGGGTTAGGTGATTTTTGCCGCCTGCAGAGCGGGATATTGCTGGTTGGGGAAATTAAGAGGACCAGGGAATAATCATTTTTTTTCCTTGCTCGAGCTCTTTCACCTCCTCTTCCTCCCCGCTAAATGCTGTCACCTTCAGCCTGGTGTGAATCCCAGTCCTGGCCTGGAAGGATTTGGTAAATATTTAAGCAAAATGCTTTCAGCATGATACATGTGTGGTGTGTGCTACGGCACCGAGGCGCAGGGGGATGGCTCGGTGCGGGCACCACCTCCACAGACGCCCTTTGCAGCCGCTCTGGGTTAATCATCGCGGCTTTGCCCTGGGAATTTTTAATTTAACCAGCCCTTTGGAAAGCAGGCACATATGTCTGCTCAGCCGGCTGCTGCCGTGGTTTGCTCGAGGATCCCCCGTGGGAGAAGTCGTCTCCAGCCGGCGGGCTCTGAGAATCCAACCCAAGGATTTCGCACGCGGCTGCTCCACAGCTCTGACCACAGCCGCCCTTATCTCCAACCCCCCCCCAGAGCACAGGAAACAAACTGAAATAAACCAAAATAATTTCCTTTCTCGTTTCCTCTCCCTCGGCCTCCCGGAGATGGGAAGCTCTTGGGAACTTCGGGAAGGAGCAAGGGAGCGTGGAGCAGCCGAGGTGTGCCTTTGCTCCCCGCTCCTGGGAAGCCCTGCCTGAGGTCAGGCTTTGCCCTGAGCTTCTCCAGCTGCTGGGGGCCAGGGAAAAAAAGGCAAAAGGAGACCCAGGAGCCCCCAGCCCTATAGGTAGGGGCGTGGGACCCTCACCCTTCCAACCCCTCAGTGCCAATTCTTGTCTTGGCTGCGCCAAGTGGAGCGTCTTGGGCTGAGCAGAGGAAAACTGCCCCCATTTTTTTGAGGGGGGGAGCCCCCAAAGCTTTGCTCTGATGGGAGATGTAACCGCGTTTCCATCTGCAAAGATCCAGGATGAATTATTTAGGCCTGTAACGCAGCAGCTCTGCTGAATTATTTAGGGGGATTTGGATTTGTAGGCCAATGAAGCAGAAGCGAGCGGTGCTGAGCGGCGTGGTGAATAGTCCCAGGAGAAAGCCGGGTCCTTTTTCTTCTTCTTTTTTCCCTTGATAAGCGTTACAAAAGCAGCCTGCACAATCTTCAGGGCGAGTCCTGGGAGTGAGTAAGACAAACTGCCCTCACAGCTTTCTCCAGCAGAATATTTTTGCTGCCCGACTGGTTGCTGGCGTGCGCAGGGCCGGGAGATAAGCGTTGCACAACCCAGTGCGCAGCACCCAGGAGGGGAGGAGCAGGAGGGGGAGGCTGCTGGTGGGAAAACCTCTGCTCCTCTCCAACCCCTGCAAACCCCACCTGAGCTGTAGGGTTAGGGCAGCACAGGGCTATGGGGGGCTTCAGGTTTGCAGCAGATTTCTGTTTCTAAACCCAAATAAAATACCTGGCTCCAACTCATGCCTGCAGGCTGGGATTCCCCACCAGTGCCCCCCAGGTGCCATCGGTCAGCTCCTTCCACAAATTATAAGCATGGTTTGAAGAACTGGGTGCTCTGAAAGATAATATATCTGAGGGTCTGCGTGCATTTACCTCTTGTCTCAAATGCCCCAAGGAGTCACATTTTCCAGCTTTTCTCTCTGACCCTGAGGACTAGAAACTTTGTTTGCTATCGGAGCTCCTGCAGCGACGCCAGGATGATGCTTGAGGAGAATTCCTGGTTGCATGCAATGACCTGGGCTGGAAAAGCAAGCCTTTGTGGTGTGACCGGGGTGTCCAGCTAACAGATTAGCATCGCAGATCAATACCCAAAACCGCTCAGAAACTTATCGCTGTTTTGCAACTCCGCTGGGCAGGGAGGAAGCTGCTTTGTTTAGCTGCAAAAGCAAACTTTGCTTTGAGGCTCTGGGGACACAGTCTGGGCTTGTCTCTATTTTAGCATCCAGCAAAGGAAGAGGCTGAAGAGCTACCACGGAGTTGAGAAATGGACGTGCTCCTGTCATTAATTTTAATGGGAAAGGAGCAGATGAATCCCAGAAGTGGAAGAGGAAATTTCAGCCTGCCTTCAGAAGCTCGGGTGCGATGTGCTTTTCTCATGACCTTTTGTCTTTTATTTGCTGCTAAACTGGCTGGGACTGAAACCCTCCAGCACAGTGCTGTGAGAGCGGGCTGGTGGGGTCCAAACTCCTAGCTGGGGATGGAGGGGGGGGTTCTGGCTGATCCTTGGGGCTCCCCAAAACCGAGCCAAGAGCAGCGCCTGGCTGATGCAGGCTTGAACTTCCCACACTGCTGCTATGGTGGGAAAGCCACATGGAATTCCCTGTTCATTCCAGCTTTGACTGGCTGTGTTTTACCTAAAATTAGGGTAAATTTTAGGTAAAAGCAGGGAAGAGAGCACAGCAGTGCTGGTAAATGTCCCTTGGGTTTGTCACCAAGCCCTGCCAGGAAGGGCTGGAGGGGTCAGATCAG